CAGACTGTATTTCACCAGGAGGTGCAAATGGCAGATTATCACATTTTTAATAATGTTGAGTTTGTTCTCTCAAGTAGAGGGATAATCTCTGTATCTCTCTATCTGATTGGTCACTTTCTCCTTTGGGAATTAACAAATAACCTTTAAGGTGATATTTCATTGCTTATCATTGGCCGAATAAATGATTTTGCAAAATGATGATTTTTCTCTCTCATTCCTTCTCCATGTATCAGCTGTTATTTTTCTGTAAGAACCCCATTGCCAAAATATCATACTTTATATTATATTTTTTGTTTAAAATAAAAACTAAAATAATAGTAAACACACAAACAAGGTTAGGTTCACATTTAATGCATTGTTGAAAGAGATTTTCTTTCATGGCTCTTATATTCTATCTCAACCTCTACTTTTTTTTTTACTGTTAATATTAACTTAAGGTACATCAGAGACATTCATAAAAGTATTAAATAGGAGCTGTCTGAAATTTTCTAGCTCAATTTCTCTGGAACCTAACTGTTTTGACTGCTAAATTTTTATTTTTCAAAAAAAGTACTAATATTTGGTAGTCCATAAATACTCAATTTCATAACTTATATCTTTCTTACTCTGTGGCAGATTCTTGAAAATTTAAGCTTTGTTTAAATTAAGGTGCTTGTTCCATGTAGTTATCACTCATTTTCTTTCTTTTTTCTTCCTCACTCCTGCACTCCCCCAAGAATGTGCTTTTGGGATATGTTTGGGCTAAGAAGGAAATGTCTTTTGTCATTTTAATGGAACACATAGATTTTTACTAAATAGCAAGTTCCAAAAACATATGGCAAGAAAGTGGTCAATTTATCATAGTTTGTGATACAACTCTCTGGGTTGCTTGCTTTTGAACTTCAGGCCTATTTTAACATCAGTGTAGAGAGTTGACATAAAGAAGCCAAGGGGTCTAAGGTGATGGGAAGCGTTAGGCTGGACTTCTGAGATTCGTCCTCTTCCTCTGCCATATGCAGATGCTCCTTTGGACTTGGGCTGGTATAGTTGAAGTCTAGCTTAATATTCTTGTGGGGCTCACTGTGACTGCCACTCCACTTGAAAAACAGCTCTCTATCTATTGTCCAACATGTCATCTAACACAGCTATGAGCACCAGAGGGTGTTGGACCCTGTGATGGGGTCTGGAGGTTCACAGGACTGCAAACAGAGCAGTCCTACTCCATCTCTGTGGGAAAGAAAGACAACAAGTGGGTGGATGAATAGGATGATTTCCAATAGTGATGATTCCATAAAGAGAATAAAACGGTGACCTGAGGGAGGGTGAAGGGAGAGTTACTTCATACAGGGTGGCCAGAAAGGGCCCCTCTCATTAAGACTTGAATGATAAGAAATCATTCATGCATCTGTCTGGGAAGAGGAATGCATTCCAGGCAGCCGAAGCTGTCAGGTCAAAGACCTGGTGATAGAAATGAGTTTGGCGAGTGGAGAAGGCACAAAGAAGGTTATGTGGTTAGAGCATAATGAGAGGAGGACAGTGGCAGGAAGTGAGGTAGAGAATTGAGCAGGATCCTGATTACACAGCATCTTGAAGGCTAAGAGGTTGAGAATCTATTCTTATCTCAAAGAGAATCCGCTAGCATATGTAACATAAAACATGGTATGGTCTGATTTATGTTTGTAAAAACTATCACTCTTGTTGCTCTGTGGCTAATGAACTAGTGGTAAGGCAAAGTAGAAACAGGAAGTCAAATTAGGAGCTGTAATGGTCTCCAGACTTAGATATAGACAACTTTATTTTGAATTCTGGATGCTTCCATTCTGCTCTCAGTGGGCGTGGAGAAGAATACCTACTGCCTTTAGCAAAGTTAAAACTTCGATGTTTGAGAATGTCAGAAATTAACATGAACAAGGGGCAAAATAAATTCTATTTAACTGCTTATGATAAGCTTTAATTCAGTGAGACAATTTACATCATTCATTAATATCTAATGACTTCTTGATATTCTAAGTGTTACCAAAATATTCAAGTGTTTTATTATCTATTTTGCTATTTGCTGAATTATTATCCTAGTTAATAAATAAACAAACAAGCAAAAAATTTACCTGGATGAAAACATGTCTAATAGTTTTAAGTTATATCTTTCCTGGGACCAGCAGTTAGTGTAATGGCTATGTCGCTGGACTCCCACGTAGTCGACCGCGGTTCAAGTCCTGGACCCGGCGGCTTGAACTCACACCAGGTGCGTAAGATCCTGAGAAGAGAATGGAGGAGAAGGGACTGCAGCGTGGCCATCCCCCAGGGGGTGATTTCTCGCTTTCTATCTCTCTGGCTCTGTCTTTCTGGCGAGTGCACGTGCCCTCTAGCAAATACCTCTCAAAAAAAAAAAAGTTATATCTTCTTAATCTTTACAGTCGCCACCATTTTTCCCTCTGAGCTTCTATGCTATCTTCAAATCATGTTATTTCCTTAAATAAAATGGTACATAATAGAAAAAAATATATATATATATTTCAATCATCTATATAAATAAATTATATAATTATATATTATATATGAAATTAATACATATTATATATATACTTCCTGTTTCTACTTTGCCTTACCCATAATGTATATACATATATATATATATATATATATATATATATATATATATACACACACACACACACACATATATATATATTAATTTTAAAACACTCCATAAATGGGAACCAGCTAGGTAGCATGGTGGTTAAGGTGGCCAACCCTGTGTTTTGAGTCCTAGATCTTTAAAAACAAAACAAAACAAAGCAAAATCAAACAAGTAGCACATATGCATACATGCCCCACATCCCCCACAAAACACTCCATAAATGTAAGACATGATTAGTATAATACCTTTTACACTTGCTTTCATGTGCCTATCAATAATAACTATATAAATGAATCATAGCAACTTAAAAACATTTTTTAAGTACAAATGAGTCTCATCACTCTCTACCCCAGCCCCATTCTTCCTCTCACCCACTAAAATTGCGCTAAAATTAGGATAAGATGAGTGAGACCAAATCAGAAGGGATTATACATGCACAGGATCAGACCCTGACTTTATTTGTAAGTGATATTTTACTCAACCTGTGTGTGTATTTGCATTAATATTGATTTGTTAAAATGTTACTTATCTTAATTACTGAGCTTTTAGTACCTCTTGACATTTTGCAACTGAATCCCGTTGCCTCTCTCATTTCAGCCTAGCGCCTGCTTTCTGAAAATACATTCCCCTTCCCTGCAACTGTCTATAGCCCAGCTCTGGGCCTATATGTATATTTTGAAAAGGTGTTCTATGTGCATCTTACACAATTTCGGATCTAGTTCTGCTTTAGAAAAGAAAGAAGCTCTATTGGTGTCCTTTTAGAGAAGGGTCCTTTAGACTGATGCTCATCCTACTGAAGCTTTCCCAGGTCTTGTTCAATAAGTAGTTCTAAGAATAGTAAGGCTGGAGTTTTGTTTGTTTGTTTGAGCTAATTATACCTCTTCTTTGCCTTTTATATTTCCATTATGGAGAAAGGGGGAGGAGGAGGACAGGACAGAGATAGGGACAGAGCATTGACATAATTTGAAGGCATCTGCTAGGACTGGGGTGTGCAAACTCTGCTTGGAGAATGACAGGTTTGGATACAGTTCTCACAGGCTCCTATTATATTAAGGCTCAACTAGCACCATGAGTCTGTGACTCAGGATAGGTTGGTCATTTATAGTTTCCTGGGGTTTTTTTGTTTTTTTTGTTTGTTTGTTTTGTTTTTTTGAGAGGTTTTCGCAATAGGGTGCGTGCGCTCGCCAGACAGACAGAGAAAGACATAGAGACAGAAAGCGAGAAATCACCCCCCAGGGGAGATGGTCACGCCGCAATCCCTTCTCCCCCATTCCCCTCTCAGGATCTTGGGCATGCATGCACACACGCCCGGCATGAGTTCTAAGCCACCGGGTCCAGGATGCCAACCGTGGTCAACTACGTAGGAGTCCAGCGACATAGCCATTACGCTAACTGCTGGTTCTCTATAGTTTTCTGTTTTTTTAAAAAAATATTAGTAATCATTATTATTTTTAAAATTTGGTAAGAGAGAGAAGAGGAGGAGGGGGGAAATAGAAAGCAAACTGCCAGGTCTAGGACTTGAACCACAGTAGGCCCTGTCCAAGTCTACTGCTTTAATGACCACATCACCTGCCAGGTCCAAGCATTTGGTTTCTACCTGACTCAGTGTAATGAAAGTGAAAAGGACAACGCTAGTATGTCTCTAGTGCAATCTGGGTTCCTGGTCACTTCCTCTCCTCAGATTAAGTCTCAGAATTGTCAGACTCTTCCTTTGCTTGGTAGAACCAGTGTCAGACTATCTGGGTTTGCAATCTAGCTTTTCTCTTGACTCTTGTGTGAATTAGGGTTTTTTGTCTGAACTTCAATTTTCACATTTGCACAGTAAAGATAAAAATCTTTCAACAGGATCCTTCAACAGCCATGTCTATTAAATAAAATGACATCTGCAAAAATGCATGACTTAACATGATGGGTCTCTGATAAATGTGTGATCATGAGTCTGAAGAAACTATGTTGAGATGTTTGCAGATTTCTGATAAGTTTTGATTAAAGCAGGTGTATTTGATATGCCTATTAGCTATTCTTAATTACATACAGTAGCTAAGCTCTTGTATTGATACTTACATTGAGCTTGCAAATATTGAAGATAATATATACATAGTAACTAGCACAGAATACCCTAGGTTTTCAGAACATGAAAACTGAAACATGAACATGGATTCAACAATTCAATTTTCTCATTCATTTGCAACCTCAGTCTCAAACCAATATAGTGTTCAAGAGACATGTAAATTATGAACTAGCAGAAGGTAGACCTTTTGATGAATTACTCTAGAAAAATACTATTTTAAAAGAAAGTAAACCTAAAATAACACAAAATAATTATGTTTTTACTTATTGCTTTGTGATTGAAGTTTGAAATGTTTTTATTTTGTATCTTTAGGTTCTAAATCAAACTTCTCGACTTGAAATACAACTGCTGGAGAATTCATTATCAACATACAAACTAGAGAAGCAACTTCTTCAACAGACAAATGAAATCTTAAAGATTCATGAGAAAAACAGGTATAGATGATCTTCTTACTTTCTGTTTATTTATTTATTTATTTATTTTTATTTATTTTTGTTAGAGAGTGTGTGTACTCTCCAGAGACAGAGAGAAAGGGAGAGGACAAAGCACCCACCATGGGAAGTGGTTTCACTGTAATTACTTCCTCTCCAGTCCCCATTTCTTTGGGAGTTGGGGCATACATGTGCATGAGTTCACACGTTTCTCCAGACACTGGGTCTGGAACTCAAACCACATAGTCAGCCATGTGGGATATGACCACCTCAACCACCAGGGCACAGAGCCAGCCCAGATTGTTCTATGTTTAAGTTATGCACTTATTTATATCCCTCATCCATCTGATGAGTCCTTAAAAAATGTGGAGGTGTTTAAAAAAAACAAAGTATAGAGCCAAAATACTTTTTAATATAAAAACGAAGAAGGATTTAAGGCAAATACAGAAAATATGCTAACAATTTGATTAATACTGTTGCTTACAATCTTGGAATACTTGTTTTGATCATTTTTAGGCATAATTTCTCTAATGTTCAGTTATTTACATCACAAAAATGATTTGAGTCTATGACTAAATTCAGTGGCACAAAGTATTGACATTTTTTCAGCACAATAAAAAAGTGTAACAAAAGGGAATAGAGACTCTTTAATGATCAACCCACTCTTAAGTTTTTACAAAGCTACAGGGCTATTGAATTCAGAGATCTTAGCATATAGAGAAGTAAAATTCATATTTTCTTTTTCAGAAAATTATTTACCTATAAAGCTGATCAAGAGTTTCCGGTTTTATGGGTTTTTTATTGTTGTTGTTGTTTTGTTTTGTTTTGTTTTTCCCCATTTAAAGCCATTTTCCCTGGCTATAATATATTTCTTTGTTTAACTTTATTAATATCATTACACAGTTGTGTTCTATAAAGTGCAAATCATCTCAGATAAGTGAAATTGGACTTCAAGATCTTGATAGTTGGGACAGTGGAAGACTATATTAGTTTGAGGTTGTTAACATTGAGGACTGACAGTGAAATCAAAGCATTGACTTCTGTAGAACAAGTACCTTGTATTTAATTGAGTTTTCTTCTAGGCGATAGAGTACTAGAAGCTTCCGTTCTTATGCATTATCTTGAGTTAAAAGGCAAGTTTATTGTTTGGAACTATTTAAATGAACCACTGTGTTGGTGGAACTAGAGTGTCTGGCATATTCCAAACCAGGAAGGCACCTAAAAAACCTTATTAGTTCTCTTCTTATTTTACAACGAGGGGACAGAACCTCCATGGAAGCTAGTGACCCGTTCAAGATCACACACTTGCTAGTGGGAGAACCAGGGATATAATCCAGGTTTCTTGTTGTTAGGCCTCCTCTTTCCACTATGACACAGGGTCTTTTCATATAGAAGCTAAAAGGATTGCTCAGCTTCACACTGCAAGTAGAATTTAATGCCAAAAATCAGAATTAATTTCTAATTAATTCTTCTGCATGAAGAAGATAAACCTGACTGTTAGTTTAGAATCTAAAAGGGGTCACATACTTCAGGAACTAGTTTTTCAATGTGTTTTTTATATATAAACCAAAAATATCTATTCGTAATACAGAGCATGCTTTCCTTATTCTATTTGTTGTTATTGTTTATTTTCATATGTTCAATGAAATCAGCAGAGTTCTGCCAAGCACTTTCAAGGGCAACAAAGAAATGTGTTCTTTTCATTTAAGTGGAGAGAAGGTCAATGTCAAACATGAAGCTGTTTCTTTTAATATATACACATTAAAAACATACACATAGAAACATATTCATGTGTAATTATTTCTTGGTCTTTCCTACCTATCCTTTATGTGAATCTTAATCTTACACATGCAACAAGAAGCTATCTCTACATGGAAGCATCTCTGAAATGTAGGAATAACATGCCTGTAGTCAGCTAGGTCTGGTTTGGATCAACTAATACACTTTGCAGAGGGGATTATCTAAATTAAGCTCTGCTTCCTCCCCAAGGAATGCCAGGGGCTGTGTCTGGGTGTGTGACTTACCAGCTTTGAGTATGATGGGCCCTCAGACGCCAAGTCGGTGAGCTGGCCTTTAGGAGAGTCCACTACCTCCTTGGCAGAACAAGGAGGAGTATTTTATGGACAGGATTATGCTACACAAGCATGCTGAGAGGTCCTGCTGATTTACATCCTGGCAAATTAAATGCATCATTTGTAGGATTGAAAATGGATTTTTGGCCTCATTAGATTCACTTCTTTATCCCCCAAACATCCAAAAGCACAAAACAGGAACAGGATTAGTAACATTTGTTCTACTGTTTGTTTTCCTAAGAATCTGGTGAGGGCGACTCCAAGAAACTTAGAGTTTGCTTACGTTAGGAAGCTTTTTTTTTTTTTCCTTTTTTGGATGCTCCCCTAATCTCAAAACTTGGTTTTGTTTCCTACCTCAAGAAAACAGTACTGGGAAGTAAGGGATTCATAACTCAGCCAAATGATTAAAATTATACAAGTGAGAACCTAAGTAAATGGAAAACTTGAATGTATCATTATCTTGCTCATAAGGAAGTTGGTATGAGCACAAAGTAGAACAAGTAATTGTCAACTTTTATTAGATTCCTCCAAAATATGTCCTACTGGTTATGTTCAAAGCAAATGAAGAGACGTGTACAGGAAGAGATGTCATAAAGCAAATCCTTCAGCTGAATCAGAATGAGAATGAATCTGTTGTTCTAAAGATTTGGTCAACCAACCAACTTTCAGGGCACCTGCTTACACCCACCTGCCCCTGCCCTAGGATGATGTGATAAGGTACCCCGAGGGGAAGAGCTGTGGATTGAGAAAGGACAAAAAATAAGCGGGGATCACACTGGTCAGGCATCTCTGCTGGAGAACTGTGTGGCCCTGAGCAGTTCTATGCTCATTGTTTTTGTTTTTTAATTTTATTATTACTATTTATTATTATTTATACATTCAATTGCTATATATGACTTAGATTGTAAAGAGATTTACTCAACATGATATATGCCACACCCCAGGCAAGTTGAGAATACTATGCATGACATCATCAACAGGCAACAAACCATATCTGTGTCCCACAAATGTCTTACTTCTCCATTTTTTCCAAATTTCCCTTCCTGCGCTTCCCCCTTTCTCCCTCTCCTTCTATTATAGGGGAGGAAAAACCTCGTGCTTCCACTGTGGCGCACATCATGGTTCTAAACAAGCCTCTCCTGACCTTCTCTGTCTGACGCTCTGGTTTCTTCTATCTATAAAGCCCAGCAGTAGATTATACCTTTGTTAGAGCTTTTGCATGCTCTGCAGCAATAGTGCCAAGACTGTATCTTCTTAAAGGTACTTCCTGTACCTGCCCATCTCTGACTTAGCCCCCAATGTGTTCAGGTGGTAATATAGTCAAACAATATTCCAAAAGAAATTCTTCTGCTTCCCCAGGGTCTATTGGAAGGGAAATCAGCACTCTCTGTCCACAAAGACAGAATATGTGAATTTTCTTTATGATTGTGTTCAATATTCAGAGTAAAGTGGAAATCATCAAAAAGACCATTCAGAATAAGTGGAAATAGACATGCAATGGCCATTTCAACATAGTTTGAGCAATACCCGCTTTCCTTAGCTGCTGTAAATCTGCTAAAACATAAACACCTATGTCAGATACTTCACACTCACATAGCCAAGCTTATGATCAATTCTGCAAAGTATGTATTATTATTTCCATTACACACATAAAAGCTGAAATTCGGGGGCCAGCAGGTGGCGTGGTGGTTAAGGTGCTGGAATTCCCACATGGCGGCCAACCACAGTTCGAGTCCTGAACCTGGCAGCTTACTCTCTCTCTCTCTCTATTTCTCTGGCAAAAAATCCATGTGAAAAAATAATAATAAATAAATAAGTGAATAAAATAATCATAAAAAAAAAGTTGAAGTTCACAGAGGTCAGCAACTCTCCCATGACCAAACAGCCCATGGATGGCGAAATTCGAACACAGACCATAATCATTCTCTGTATTAATTATTATAAAATATTTCTCCAGTGTGATGCAGCCTCAAGAATATTGATGTGGATGTCAAGTTATTCTCTTAACACAAATAAATATAAATTTTTTGAAGAGGTTTTTACTATAGGGTGCATACGCTCTCCAGAGAGACAGAGAGACAGAAAGCAAGAAATCACCCCTCAGGAGGGATGGCCACACCACAATCCCTTCTCCTCCATTCTCCTCTTGGGATCTTGGGCACGCATGCACATGCACCCAGTGTGTTTTAAGCCACTGGGTCTGGGATGTGAACCGTGGTCAACAACATGGGAGTCCAGCAACATAGCCATTATGCTAACTGCTAGTACTGACAAATAAATATAAATTTGAAGAAAAGAATAGACCAGTTGTTTTTTGGTTATCACTCTATATACATCATTATTTAGTTCTTTAATATTGGAGTAGGAGAGATATAAACTATGTGTTTTACCTTGGGAATTCACCAAACTTATTTGATAAGCCTCATCTACCTTCTAGCTGGAGTTATGGGATGTTATTAAAGTAGTAAATTTTAAGTGATTAGAGTTTATTAATTTAAGGATACCAAATTATTCCTTACAAACAAGTTACTATAGTGACATAATAAAATATTAATGTTTTAATACTTAATATGCCTAAGGAAATGAAAAGTTAAATCTCTTTTTAATTAATATCATCCATTTGATAAGTTCTTTAAAAATAATAAGGCAAAACCTTGTTAATTTCTAACAGTAGACTAATGTGAATTGCATTGTTGTACCTTGCAGAGATCAAGAAAAACCTGTCATTTCAAATTAAACTACTCTATTTTATTCTTGTAAATAGAACACTATACAATAATGGAACATTATCTTTTTCCTCCTTTAAATTTTCTAACTAAAATTTGTAATGAATGATATGGAGCATCTTCTCTCTTTTCAAAACTTTCAATTGCCGTAGGATGATAAAATAAAATAGAATTCTAATCAAACTGGATATCTAAGGGGTCACTT